AAAAAAAAAAAATTCTGCCGCGGGCGAGATTTGAACCCCAGAATGCTCAAAGCAAAAGTACACGATGCGGTACTTAGCTACCTCGACTACCAACGCACTGTTTCCCTAAGCACTTAAAGTGACACATGTTTATCGTGAAGCTCCAGGGTTTAAGTTTAAGTATTAGTTTATTTTTTCTTTACATTGATAATTGTGTTAAAGTTTAACCTACAAGTAGAATCATTATTTTTCTACATATTTTCACAATTACTTATTCTTATTAGAAATAAAAAAAAATTCCGCTGCGGGCGAGATTTGAACCCCAGAATGCTCAAAGCAAAAGTACACGATGCGGTACTTAGCTACCTCGACTACCTACGTACTGTTTCCCTAAGCACTTAAAGTGACACATGTTTATCGTGAAGCTCCAGGGTTTAAGTTTCAGTATTAGTCTATTTTTTCTTTATATTGATAATTGTGTTAAAGTTTGACCTACAAGTAGAATTATTTTTCTACATATTTTCACAATTACTTATTCTTATTAGAAAAGTTACATGTGTTGAAGAATGACTTTTAATTACAGAAAAAGTCATTCTCTATTGAATAAACTTAAAAATCAAAGTGAAGCGTGTGTGTATTATTCTGATATTTTTAATGCGCTAAATTTTGATAAATCTATAAAAACATAAATTATTCAAGTTGTAAAAATGATTATTTTATAGAGATCAAGTTTCAAGAAGTTACATTAATTATCGGGGCTTACGCTTTTATTACTCAATTTTTTATTTTATACGAGGAAAACTCAGTATTTAGCTGTACAAGTATTTAATACACATTTAATGAATAATATATGACCGGACATATAATAACTGTCCAACATTCAAAACCGCTTTTGAGGGAACATCACATCAGGAATAGATATAGGTATACGCATGCATGCGAGAGCTGCAAGCTGCGAGAGCCGGGAGCCGAGAGCCGAGGCAGCTAGAATACAAAACATATTTAGCTATACCCGTGTATACGCACATATTCCTTCCCCCTCTACTAGGTACCTATCGTACGCACAATTTGGTCTTCTCCTCCGCTGCTGAAACGTGCGCATAGTTCGGCTGATTTGCCGCGACGGGGCGCTCAAAACAGTGGAAGAAAAGCGACACACTCTCTACAATAGGCGCTGGCAATCTCCCTTCTAATCTCTGGTGTTACTGTGGTGTTAAAGCAGTACAACATCTATAGTGAAGTGTTACAATAGCGTCTAAAGAAATTCCAGAGTACCATAGCACATCTTATTATACCGCAGGTATAGTGTAACAAATACTAGAGGTAGATTCATTAACTACTTAGCCCATTAACCTATCCAAAGGCTTGAAACAAGTGACCTTTTATGTTGGATTTTTTACTTATGAGAGCAGAGGGCGCAGGATCTCACTTCTGCATGGAGCAAGAATGATTTATGCACAATTATAGTTAAATTAAGCATATATAATGCACTGAATAAGTAACTTGTATCTTGTAAATTGTCAATTAAGAATAAAATATCTAATAAATTTGAACTTTATAGACTACGCACTTTTAATTATAAAACGAGTTCCTTATATATTAAGCGATTAACCCTAAGAAACCTAATACCTTAGAGTCTTTATGCTGTTATTTGTTTGACAAATTATTTTAATTTTAAGCATTTTCTACAGATTAACCCCATTCTCTTGACATGTGTAGTATTTACAAATTAATTCTGAGACTGAAAGTTTTTGTGATGGAAGTAGTATAATTTGTAATGGTCACTACTATCTGCTCTTGGCGCTGCATCCCGAATCTGCAGAGTTTCAGAGTCCATCGTTAAACAAAAAAAAAAAATAGTAATAATCTTAAGTAATCTCATTTTGAACAGACGCTAACACATGACAAGTTTGTATATGTAATATTATTTATATGTGGCTTGCATTGTGTAATATAGAGTGCAAGAGTAAGTTAAAATTTTGCAAATATGATTAACACAACTTCCTACGTATCGCTCAGTGAAACCTAACATCACAACCGTGAGTCAACAATTTAAAAGAAAAGTATACTGTAAGTAAGAGCAAATAAGGCCTTAAGGCTGACAGCTGGTTTGTGACGAACAAAAATTAAATTTATTTGTTTGTATAATGAATCTACAAGTTCCACCCTTCACTAAAAAATTCGAACGTATTATTAAAATATGCACATAGCCTATAATAAACTGTTTCCAATTTGAACAATTTGCAGTAATGATCGAGTGTGATAAATAATGATTTGGTTCTTAATACTAAAAACCCTCAATTTAGTTGTCAAAAAGGCTTTAAAATAATGTTAAAACACTTTTTGCGGTCTACAACAGGCTATATACTCGTGTTACCTAACATCACATATTGAAAAACGATGGCCAGCACCAACTGCCACTTTTGTAGAGTACTATTCCACGCTTGTGCGTAGTCCTGTAGCTGCGCAATTCGCAGCTTACTGTATAAAGTGTGGTGCACCTATCGTGAATACACCTGTGTGGTACTGTATTCGTCTCGCAAAGGCTTGATGGACACAGCTCTGTGGCTGTCAGGGGTCATCCTCAGTCACCTGGTTCTCATTCACTCCCATGGTATCCTGCATTCGGACGTTCAGTTATATGTGTACGCCATGCGCGGTGCATGGCATTAACAGTGTAGATGGCACTGTTTCAGGTTAGTTTTCACAGCTAGGTGTTTTTCCAATTGACAAAACTTATTTTTGCTTACCATGGGCCCAAAGTGCAACTGCCGCTTTGCGCCCTCAAGCCATAATTTGCGCCCTTGAAATCACTTTGGGCCCATGGGCAGAAAAGTTTTTTGTGCGCTCTGGGCCCAAAGCACTTTTCTGCTCTAGGGTCCAAAGTTATTTACCGGGCGCAAAGTGTGCCCACGGTCGCAAAATTGCACTTTGCGCCCTCGATAAGAAAAACATTATACACAACTCTGGCACCAACATAAAAAAATCGCGCTCAAGTTTGTACTTTGTGCCCTAGTGACATAATGTACTATTACTACTTTTTTTTTTAATGTATTGACTTTGACTTATCTGTACAGTCGTGTAAAATAGTATTTAGATTCTTCGTTTACCTACTCCAGAATTTTTACGAATTCTTAATTCCAAACGTCAACCATCTTAAAACTTTTTTCTTTTCTAATTGCCATTCTTTTTTCTTAAGTATACGAGTATTTTATACGGGCCCCTTGCAAAGATCCCATCAGATTTCTTTCCATTGAACTATTTAACTTAGTGTTCCAACATTTTAAAAACTTATAGTAAATTTACTGATAAGCTGGCCAAGTATTAACTTCCTTTCAAAAAAGAGCCCTATATTAGACATCACCTAAAAATCCAATATTTGTTTTCAAATGAGTGGTTTTCCGATATCTTGGGCACTAATCGTATTGAAAAGGCTCGAGAACAAAATCTTGATATTTTTTGTCAGGATTCAAACCCACGATCTCTCTATTTTTTCTGGCTAAGAGGCTAATACGTAAATAATTTAACTCTAAAGTTCTTTGACTAATCTGTATTTTACTTAGAAGTAAATAATCATCTTTTATAATGAAAATACATAATATTAATTATAACAGCGAGATTCTAAGTAGCAATACCTAAAGAATAGTACAAAATATTGCTTCGTATTTCTGTAGTTAAAGATGAATGCATAGCTTAGCTTTTATTATTTCACATAATCTTGTGTGCTTCTGTATGGTTGAGATCAATTTCACAAAGTTGGAAAAATAAACTTCATTTAAAATTTACTAAGTAAGCACAATTTTTTAGGCATAAGTTTCATAAAGTTATGAGATAAAACTAGAATGATTCCGAAAAAAGACAAATAAACTTAAGTTTACATTACTTCTTGTGTTAATTAATTTTTTGCTGTTTTAGGGCATATCATCAACTTAATATTCAACCGATTATAAAATGTGGATCAAATACATTCTCACCTTCTATAGATGCACAATTGACTCATTGCGCAGATTTTGAAATGAGATTATCAGACTGTTTGGATGTTTATGGCATCGAAAAAGGAATGAAAAAATGTGAAGACTTATTATCTGATTTAAGAGAGTGTTTGCTAAATCCAAAACAAAGACAGCGAGTCAAGTTAATGAGAGAACAGCACATACTGCAATATAAAAAAGGAGAAAGAAAAGAGATGTTTTCAAAACCACCAGCTTACGACGCATATTAATGGTTAATTACTTCTGAGTAACGTAAAGTAGTTACTTATTAGAATTTATAAATTAATAAAACTGTTTATTTATATGGTTATTAACTTTATTTTTAATGTGTACAATAAGAAAAAGTACATTATAAAAAATTTTATCAATTAAACAAACTTACATTTGTTTTTCTTCATTATCTTCAAAATTAAATTATAACATGGACCAATTTTTTATCGTACTGCTTATCTAATAGTTTTTCATTAATGTAATGTCTGCACAATCGTAAAAATTTTTTAAAAATTAAAGAAATAAATTAGTAATGCCATGTAAAAATACTTTTCTTCATTATCAGCATCATTTTTACCATAATTTTAGTCTTTACCATCGCCATTGCATAGTAGTTCAAATTTTGGTGAATCTATTAAATTTATATGTTTAATAAATTTTTCTGGACTACTTAATTCTTGAGGTAACTTTTTTAACAGATTCGAGTCTCGATACTATACAGTTATTTTAGTGGGTTATTTACACTTTCTTCCATACTACCACCTTCAACAGCTTTCCTTCACACAATAATGGGAAATTTATTTTATTTCTCCGTGGTTTCTAACACCATCAAATATGGGTTAAGCCCTCTCACCGCCTCTCTTGACTGTCATTCTATACCTCCTGTACGTATATTATCTTCTCTCAACAGCACGCGACAGTCTCTCCACGTCCCAGCGTTCGTACACTGAGAGAAGTTATTTTCAACACTAATGGAATATGTGTCATTGTAAAGCTAATATTGTAAAGCATTAATCGTAAACAAAACACGAAATAAAGCTCATCAAAAGCTCTCGAAAAGCTTTTTACAAAATTTGGATTCGATGGATAATTAACGAGATATTGTTGATTTAATAATCGATCAATTCCTCCAATCACAGAGCACTTAGCCTCAGGAGGCGGGGCCTAAGGATTGTGGAGGGGCGACTACGCATAGCTAAACTTTTTTACGGAGAAGGTGGTAATAGGTATGCCAGGAGACAAGGTTACCGACTGCAGAGATTTGATCAGTTACCGTACCAGCGCAAAATTCAAATAGCAAGGCCGAAGTATTTTAACCGGAGATCTGATTTTTGAGAAATGATTACGCACGTCCACTACGCTTATTCAGTGCATATTTTTTTCTCGGTAAATTTCACATAGAAACAATTCAATTCAAATTTTTTTGAACATGCATCGCCTGATAAAAAAAACCAGAATGTGAGAGTCTCATGCGTTGAGCTCGAATACTCAGTAAAACTCTTGATCTTTTAACGTTGAGCTACTTGGAGATAAAATTTTAATTTTTTGAATACTGTAGAAGAAGCTCATTTCACGCATTTACTTGGTCCAATTTTTTTATTTCATCAAACTTTTTAGTCTGGTTTATGAGAATAAAAAAAATATATAATAATAAACGAAATTACTATTAAGCAAGACATGTGCGTTTATGGGGCACACCTCTCTAACGTGTAAGATTTTACTAAAAAAGGATCAGTAATTAATCCATACGAAGCTTTATCGTGTGAGAAATAACAGCTACATTTAGAAACTAGAGAAAATCTCACGCTTTCAGCACGATGGCTCAGCGCGAATCAGAATGCTTATTTTTCCATCTACGTGTCGATAGGTCTTGAACCTCTTGGTATCTGGAGTACCACATGACTATTTGAAAAAAAAGCAAGAAAATTCCGCGCATCGAGCTAGTTCATTTATCAAAAATCTTCTAAATCTAGAGCTTTGATTATCTAATTTTAAAACATCACTATTTTTATGCCCTCTAACGTCATAAGCACTAAAAGTTCAAGTAGGCGGAAAGGTCCAACATGGTGAGAGTAATTGACTGGCAGAAGCCCCAATTTTTATTTTTGTTTACTTTTTTTTTTTATCTATGGAAAAAAATTTACAAAATTTTGACACTACTTTAAGATAAAAAAAAAGTGTAAAAAAAGAAGAAGCACATTTCACGCTATTAGTTGGTCAAATTTTATGCATTTTGTCAAACTTTATCGTCTGAAAAAGGATCAGCATTTAATCCATACAAAGCTCTATCGTCTGAAAAATTACAAGTAAATTAAGGAACGCAAGAAAATCTCACACGTTAAGCACGATGGCTCAGCACGAATGATTACCTTTTCGCCTACTTGAACTTTTAGTGCTTATGACGTTGGAGGGCATAAGAATAGTTATGTTTTAAAATTAGATAATCAAAGCTCTAGATTTAGAAGATTTTTGATAAATAAACTAGCTTGATGCGCGGAATTTTCTTGCTTTTTTTTCAAATAGTCATGTGGTACTCCAGATACCAAGAGGTTCAAGACCTATCGACACGTAGATGGAAAAATAAGCATTCTGATTCGCGCTGAGCCATCGTGCTGAAAGCGTGAGATTTTCTCTAGTTTCTAAATGTAGCTGTTATTTCTCACACGATAAAGCTTCGTATGGATTAATTACTGATCCTTTTTTAGTAAAATCTTACACGTTAGAGAGGTGTGCCCCATAAACGCACATGTCTTGCTTAATCGTAATTTGGTTTATTATTTTTTATTTTTTTTATTTTCGTAAATCAGACTAAAAAGTTTGATGAAATAAAAAAATTGGACCAAGTAAATGCGTGAAATGAGCTTCTTCTACAGTATACAAAAAATTAAAATTTTATCTCCGTAATTTAATAAAATCTCGAGTATTCGAGCTCAACGCATGAGACTCTCTCACATTCTGGTTTTTTTTATCAGGCGATGCATGTTCAAAAAAATTTGAATTGAATTGTTTCTCTGTGAAATTTACCGAGAAAAAAATATGCACTGTATATATAAGCGTAGTGGACGTGCGTAATCATTTCTCAAAAATCAGATCTCCGGTTAAAATACTTCGGCCTTGCTATTTGAATTTTGCGCTGGTACGGTAACTGATCAAATCTCTGCAGTCGGTAACCTTGTCTCCTGGCATACCTATTACCACCTTCTCCGTAAAAGAGTTTAGCTATGCGTAGTCGCCCCTCCAGAATCCTTAGGCCCCGCCTCCTGAGGCTAAGTGCTTTGTGATTAGAGGAATTGATCGATTATTAAATCAACAATATCTCGTTAATTATCCATCGAATCCAAATTTTGTAAAAAGCTTTTCAAGAGCTTTTGATGAGCTTTATCTCGTGGTATAGTTTTCCGGGCTCAAAATCAGAACGCCCTGTATAACTAGTGAGGCTCTGTCCCCTACGTGCTCCACGCATCAACCCTCCGATGACTATTGAATCTTGCAAATGAGTACGTTAACTAACCTTAATTCTTTAGTATTCATGAAAATTTTAAGAATCATACATTAAAAAAACATTAAATGAAAATACTTAAAGAATTACTGACCAACAGGCTAACCACAAAAACATACATTACAGATACGTATGTAGCTGTTCAAATAATTTTAATACAGATTTAGCTTATCTACAGCGCAACTAAATTATACGTTATCTAGTATTTTTAGACACGTAACCGCCCCAAGGTAAACAGTCACTGAAGTCCGTAAACTATCCCAATAATCCAATTCAGAATAAAATATCAGATTTGAAAAATAACGCGAGATTGATGTCATTATTAGGAGAAAAGCATTAATAATACAAAAAGTTTTTTAAATCTTTGATAGTACGTGTATTAAGACTGGTCTAATACAAACAAATTAATTGGTAACGAATAAATAATATTGGGTGGCGATTTCCGCCAAATTTGATTACTTGTATGAAGGTAAGGTCATAATATAATAATTAAAGAAACTAAAATTTTTATCTTTTTAAATTGAGTTTTTAATCCAAGAATAACGATAAATACAGAATTTTCATCATTTTTATTTCTTATATTATACAGAAAACAATTTTCATTACAGTAAGCGTTCACTATGACAATTATTGAGCTGTATTCGGCTATTATGACCACAGACTTCTTTATACTTGCTTGTTTCATTTTTTTTTCCTAATTGTAAGCTTTAACGGTAGAAGTTTTGGTTTTTACTGGTGCGCTATTATTCCAATTTTTTAATACAGTTCTTAATGGTTGATTTACATAATTTTTTAAAAGATTATAATACCAAAATGTACATAACTATGAAACAAAGTAACTATTGTTTTATATTTATGTTCCTACTTGTGAAACTTTTTAAAAAACTAGACTTCAGTATAGTATTTCAAATTAATTAAAGTTTTTTTACTTATATAATGTTATTGTTTTCAACAGAAACAGTTCAAACGTTTTTTGTTCACAAGAATTATATAAATTAACCATTGAAATTTGGTACTATAATTTGAACATATAAAGAGAAAGTTAGGTTTGACTTTGTCTTTATATATAGAATCATTTCTAAAATTGGTTGTTTATTTTACGAAAAATGAAACGTTTCTCGTCGATTCGTAAAGATGAATAAAAAATACTACTATCACAATTTTTTATCAAGTGAGTTACATGACAAATACATGAATTCTTATGTTCCATAGATAAGGGCAGGTTCTACAAAAATAGACCTTTACCTTAAGTCACAAAGTCAAAGTTTTAATAAATGAGTTTTATAATAAAGACAAGCTTTGTTTTTCTATTAACAGTTATATGTTGCTTTATCTAGATAAGAAATCCTAAATTTTAATGTAACATGAATTCGGAAATTCGTTAAGAATACTAGACTTTTTTGTCCAAGTTTTGTTCTAAATAAAAATTACGTTGATTTCCAATAGAACCACATGAAATGCATATCAAGCTTTCGTCAACATTGTGCATTTTGAGTAAGTTAAATGACTTGTACTAACACTAAACTTGTTCGCATAGTATCATTTAATACCTACAAAAATAATTTGTCTGTTATCATGTTAACATTAAAAATATTTGTATTAATCAGTTGAACAGTTTTATTGTCAACACTATGTATCATGAACAATTTTCTTTTTTTAATTCATTTTGAACGAAATAAAGGATGCAACATAATTTGACAACTTAAAAACTAAAATCAACAAAAAATACAAATCATTTTATTCTTAAACTACAATACCTATGTTTACACATGAACTTGACTCATAAATTAATAATATTCAG